CAAGAATTGGGTTTAAGTGTTGAATTGAGGCTTAGATCATCTCTCTCTCTAGTCGGTTTGGTATAAGGAAAGAGGCTGAGAATAAAGGTCAAAAGCTCCTAATCAAGTCCCAAATATTGATGTAGAGAAAGACCACTCAATGGCAACTAGGTAATAAAGCCAACTTATGTAATTTAACATTATTAAATCTAATTTAATCATCCCAAATCAAATTTCAATTAAACATGCCATAAAATCACATAAATTCTAATTAGCATAAAACATTAATCAATTTCGGATTCGGCCGCCGATAAGGCCTTCAATTTGCAGTTTAAACATAATACATGAATAGATAATTTAGCAGTCAAACAGATAGACACGCATTTAAACTAATACACTCAATCAATCAGTTCAGAATTTCAGTCAATCAGTCAGTTAACATGCTTAATCATAGATTAGCACTAATCAGTGGTGAGGGTTGTCACAGCCATGGATGACATTAACAACTCCTTGTAGAGACGCCTCCAGGTCATCCGGCCCACGCGGGTCAACCAGGACTTGATGTGCGGCCTTCACACCCCCATCAAAGTAAAGGTCCCAGTGTCCGACTGCGACTAGCTCCTCTAAGTGTTGCTTCAGAGGCAAATAGTCCTCCGTCCAGTGTCCGCGCTCTGGGTGGAATGTGCAGCGGTACCGCGGATTGAAGCCTTTTTGCGCATTGCCTAACTTAGTAGGAAACCGGACGTAATCCTCGTCACGGATTTCACTAAGTATGCGATAGATTGGAATCTTGAAGACTGTGGTGATGCCCGTCCGAGCTTTCAACCTTCTGTTTGCATCAGCTACGTTATCGCGGGGGTATTCATCTCGGTCATTCCGCCAACCCCTATCCCGGTTTCGACGATTTGAACCTCGGTCAGATTTCTCGATGCGATCATTTTAACGGTTAGTCTCCTGTCTGACTGCGTTCACCTTGCCAGCCGACCTCTTGTCTGTTGCTACCGGAGTTGCCTTCATGGTAGATACTGTCGCATCATCTTCTACTCGGATGTGCTCGTTGATGCGTTGCATTAGTTGGCCCATGGATGTCAGCTGGTGCATGGTAAGCGAGTCCCGCAGTCTATGTCCGATCGGGAGACCACGCTTATATTGTGTGATTGCCAGGTTGACCGGGCAATCCAAGATCTTATTAAAGGTTTCCCAGTATCTGGAGTTGTATGCCTTGAGTGTGTCGCTCGGCTCCATCTTGACACTAAGAAGGTGGTCAACTTCCTTTGGCATTCTGGTGTTGGTTTTGAAACGCGTCACAAAGGCTTCCGCCAACTGCTGCCACCTTTTGATGCTTCCCTCCGGCGGCCTCTCAAACCATTTCAAGCCCAACTCACCCAAACTTGACGGGAAGATAAGGCACATAAGAGCATCATTCCGCCTATGTCCGGCCATGACCTATCGGAAGTGGCTTACATGCATGTATGGATCGGTCTTTCTGTCGTAGAGCGTGAACTTTGGTTGGTGGAAGCCCACGGGAAGAGGTGTTGTTTCTATCTCCAGGGAGAAAGGAGTGGCGCTCAGCCTCGCCAAATCCGTGTCTGGATGAGGAGGCACAGCAAGGCGGGGTGGAGGCATTACGACCTCTTCACTGGCGCGACCCCCATAGGATAACCGCTAGAATACTGGCACCCTCTGAGTCTCCCGCCGGCGAGCCCGCTCCTTCAAGACTACTCGCAAATCCTCTGAACGAGCGGAGTAGGAGTACCTTGACATCGTCGCCAGACGTGAAGGTTGGTAAGTGCTATCTTGCGTGCTAGACTTCTCTACGGGCGCATCGGAATCTCCAACCTTGTAACTTCTGGTGATTAAGAGGGATGGAGTGTGCCGCTGGCTCTGACTGCCTGAACGGCGGGGTTGGGTGCGCTCACTGTGGTCTCCCACTCCAGCTACACCCTTCCCTTTGACA